CAACCAACCACCCCACCAACCAACACAACCAACCACCCAACCAACCAACCACTCAACCAACCACCCAACCAACCAACCACCCAACCAACCACCCAACCAACCACCCCACCCACCCAACCAACCACCCAACCAACCACCCAACCAACCACCCAACCAACCACCCCACCAACCAACACAACCAACCACCCAACCAACCACCCAACCAACCAACCACTCAACCAACCACCCAACCAACCACCCCACCCACCCAACCAACCACCCAACCAACCACCCAACCAACCACCCAACCAACCACCCAACCAACCAACCACCCAACCAACCACCCAACCAACCACCCCACCAACCAACACAACCAACCACCCAACCAACCACCCAACCAACCAACCACTCAACCAACCACCCAACCAACCACCCCACCCACCCAACCAACCACCCAACCAACCACCCAACCAACCACCCAACCAACCAACCACCCAACCAACCACCCAACCAACCACCCAACCACCCAACCAACCACCCAACCACCCAACCACCCACCCAACCAACCACCCAACCAACCACCCCACCAACCAACCACCCAACCAACCACCCAACCAACCAACCACCCAACCACCCAACCACCCAACCACACAACCACCACCACCACCACCACACAATGTTGTGGATTCACTCTTCAACAACACCACCGGTGTGGGGGCTAAAGTAGTGAACTAATTTGTCTTCTGTCAACGTGACACTTTATTTTGCTGCTTGGCCGTGTCGGGTGGTGGAGGGTTACGACACACTTATAAATAACGCGATCTAACCCCCAAAAACCTTTATTATGAAGTGTATAATCTAGTAGTGTATAGTGTAGTGTATAGTAGTGTAGTGTACAGTAGTGTAGTGTATAGTGTAGTGTGTAGTATAGTGTATAATCTAGTAGTGTATAGTGTACTGTATAGTGTAGTGTACAGTAGTGTATAGTGTAGTGTAGTGTATAATCTAGTAGTGTATAGTGTACTGTATAGTGTAGTGTACAGTAGTGTAGTGTATAGTGTAGTGTGTAGTGTATAATCTAGTAGTGTATAGTGTAGTGTATAGTAGTGTAGTGTATAATCTAGTAGTGTAGTGTATAGTAGTGTAGTGTGTAGTGTATAGTGTAGTGTACAGTAGTGTGTAGTGTATAGTGTACTGTATAGTGTAATAGTGTAGTGTATAGTAGTGGAGTGTATAGTGTAATAGTGTAGTGTAGTAGTGTAGTGTATAGTGTAAGTGTAGTGTATAGTAGTGTAGTGTATAGTGTAGTGTATAATAGTGTAGTGGATAGTGTAGTAGTAGTGTATAGTGTAGTGTATAGTAGTGTAGTGTATAGTGTAATAGTGTAGTGTATAGTAGTGGAGTGTAGTGTATAGTGTATAGTAGTGTAGTGTATAGTGTAATAGTGTAGTGTATAGTAGTGTAGTGCATAGTGTAGTGTATAGCGTAGTGTATAGTGTAGTGTATAGTAGTGGATTGTATAGTAGTGGAGTGTATAGTGTTATAGTGTATAGTGTTACAGTATAGTGTATAGTAGTGTATAGTTGTAGTGTATAGTAGTGTAGTGTATAGTGTAGTGTATAGTGTTACAGTGTAGTGTATAGTGTTACAGTGTAGTGTATAGTGTAGTGTATAGTGTAGTGTATCATAGTGTCAGAATCAGAATCACAAAAGGGTTTCATTCGCCATGAAACTTCACACAGGACACGGAATTTACTTTGGCAGGATGGTGCATACGTTCCAACACGTATAGGAATCTAAAATCTTAAATAAGCGGTAAACAAGTCCTACTATGATTTAAAGCGTTCGTGACTGCAGTGATTCATATTCTTGGTGCTTTCGGTAAAGTCACGTTGAAAGTGAAACGATAAAATAATAAATAAAATATATATATACAAAACAATAAAATCCTCACGACGTTTCGACCGTAACACAAACAGTCATCATCAGGTGTGAAATAAAACCAAGGGTAAGAAGCCGTCAAAGTCGAAACGTCGTGAGAATTTTTATTGTTTTATATATATTTTTTATTATTTTATTGTTCCCCTTCAACGTGACTTTACCGAAAGAACCAAGGATAAGTTCTTACTTTAACAATGGTTCAAAGTCGAGCTAACACCAAGGTTGTGTGTGTGTGTTGTTTTGTGTTTGCATTTTTCACTGCAGGTATTAGTGGGTTAATGCGGTAAACATGAATCCCCTTGTCAAAAAGTTTCAGTTTTGTTGGTAGAAACAAGGGGGGAAACACTGTAATTATTATTATTACATATTGGTACTGGGCAAAGGAGATCTAATGATGATGTGGATGCTCACCCTGAGCCCCTCGTTACTCTGCTAGCGGTGTTGTCTCTGAGCTGTGTGAACGCCTTTTGGAGTCGTCATCTGGTGGTCTAACACCAATTGGCTGGAGGCTAAAGAGAAAGCCGTCCCCCTTGCTGTGGACCAATCAGTGTCGAGGACAATGCATCAAATATTATCATGTTATCAGAGTTTGTGTTTTATGTTTGCATTTTGACTGCAGGTATTGGTGGTTAATGCTACAACATGAATCCCTTTGTCAAAAAGTTTCAGTTTTGTTGGTAGAAACAAGGGGGAAAACACTGTAATTATTATTATTACATTTTGGTACTGGGCAAAGGAGATCTAATGATGATGTGGATGCTCACCCCGAGCCCCTCGTTACTCTGCTAGCGGTGTTGTCTCTGAGCTGTGTGAACGCCTTTTGGAGTCGTCATCTGGTGGTCTAACACCACTTGGCTGGAGGCTAAAGAGAAAGCCGTCCCCCTTGCTGTGGACCAATCAGTGTCGAGGACAATGCCACCCATCGTGTACTATCATAGTGTCAGAATCAGAATCACAAAAGGGTTTCATTCGCCATGAAACTTCACACAGGACACGGAATTTACTTTGGCAGGATGGTGCATACGTTCCAACACGTATAGGAATCTAAAATCTTAAATAAGCGGTAAACAAGTCCTACTATGATTTAAAGCGTTCGTGACTGCAGTGATTCATATTCTTGGTGCTTTCGGTAAAGTCACGTTGAAAGTGAAACGATAAAATAATAAATAAAATATATATATACAAAACAATAAAATCCTCACGACGTTTCGACCGTAACACAAACAGTCATCATCAGGTGTGAAATAAAACCAAGGGTAAGAAGCCGTCAAAGTCGAAACGTCGTGAGAATTTTTATTGTTTTATATATTTTTTATTATTTTATTGTTCCCCTTCAACGTGACTTTACCGAAAGAACCAAGGATAAGTTCTTACTATAACAATGGTTCAAAGTCGAGCTAACACCAAGGTTGTGTGTGTGTGTGTTGTTTTATGTTTGCATTTTTCACTGCAGGTATTAGTGGGTTAATGCTACAACATGAATCCCCTTGTCAGAAAAGGTTTCAGTTTTGCTGCCAGAGAAAAGGGGGAAAACACTGTTATTATTATTACATATTGGTAGTGGTAAAGGAGGCCTGACTTTAACACAGCTATTTCTGTGACCAGTTACAAGCTAATCACTCAGCTATTTCAATGCTAAATTCTATGCTAATTCCTTTGTCAAGAGGTGCCTCTGCGGATGTGTATACTTTAACTTAGCTATTTCGATGAGCCATTCCAATGCTAAATTCTATGCTAATTCCTTTGTCAAGGGGTGCCTCTGCGGATGTGTATACTTTAACTTAGCTATTTCGATGAGCCATTTCAATGCTAAATTATATGCTAATTCCTTTGTCAAGGGGTACCTCTGCGGATGTGTACACTTTAACTTGGCTATTTCGATGAGCCATTTCAATGCTAAATTCTATGCTAATTCCTTTGTCAAGGGGTACCTCTGCGGATGTGTATACTTTAACTTAGCTATTTCGATGAGCCATTTCAATGCTAAATTCTATGCTAATTCCTTTGTCAAGGGGTACCTCTGCAGATGTGTATACTTGAACTTAGCTATTTCAATGAGCCATTTCAATGCTAAATTCTATGCTAATTCCTTTGTCAAGGGGTACCTCTGCAGATGTGTATGCTTTAACTTAGCTATTTCAATGAGCCATTTCAATGCTAAATTCTATGCTAATTCCTTTGTCAAGGGGTACCTCTGCGGATGTGTATGCTTTAACTTAGCTATTTCGATGAGCCATTTCAATGCTAAATTATATGCTAATTCCTTTGTCAAGGGGTGCCTCTGCGGATGTGTATACTTTAACGTAGCTATTTCGATGAGCCATTTCAATGCTAAATTCTATGCTAATTCCTTTGTCAAGGCGCTTGGTGTTTTACTTCTAACACAGCTTAAAGGTCGCGATCTGAGCGTGGCTTCTCCCACTCCAGCGCTGTCCTACCAGACAGCCTCGTCCCTTCACCTGATGAAGGCCGCTTGTGTTGTGGCCGAAACGTTGTGATTTTTGTTATTTTATTTTTTACCTACTACGTGACTTTACCCAATAGAACCAAAGAGTGAGGCCCAATGATGATGTAGATGGTCACCCTGAGCCCTACGTTACTTTGCTAGAGGCGTTGTCTCTGAGCTGTGTGAACGCCTTTTGGAGTCGTCTGGTGGTCTAACACCAATTGGCTGGAGGCTAAAGAGAAAGCCGTCCCCTTTGGTGTGGACCAATCAGTGTCGAGGACAATGCCACCCATCGTACTATCACAGTGTCAGAATCAGAATCACAAAAGGGTTTCATTCGCCATGAAACTTCACACAGGACACGGAATTTACTTTGGCAGGATGGTGCATACGTTCAACACGTATAGGAATCTAAAATCTTAAATAAGCGGTAAACAAGTCTTACTATGATTTAAAGCGTTCGTGACTGCAGTGATTCATATTCTTGGTGCTTTCGGTAAAGTCACGTTGAAAGTGAAACGATTAAATAATAAATAAAAAATATATATACAAAACAATAAAATTCTCACGACGTTTCGACCGTAACACAAACAGTCATCATCGGGTGTGAAATAAAACCAAGGGTAAGAAGCCGTCAAAGTCGAAACGTCGTGAGAATTTTTATTGTTTTATATATTTTTTTTTATTATTTTATTGTTCCCCTTCAACGTGACTTTACCGAAAGAACCAAGGATAAGTTCTTACTATAACAATGGTTCAAAGTCGAGCTAACACCAAGGTTGTGTGTGTGTGTGTGTTGTTTTGTGTTTGCATTTTTCACTGCAGGTATTAGTGGGTTAATGCTACAACATGAATCCCCTTGTCAAAAAGTTTCAGTTTTGTTGGTAGAAACAAGGGGGGAAACACTGTAATTATTATTATTACATATTGGTACTGGGCAAAGGAGTTCTAATGATGATGTGGATGCTCACCCCGAGCCCCTCGTTACTCTGCTAGCGGTGTTGTCTCTGAGCTGTGTGAACGCCTTTTGGAGTCGTCATCTGGTGGTCTAACACCACTTGGCTGGAGGCTAAAGAGAAAGCCGTCCCCCCTTTGCTGTGGACCAATCAGTGTCGAGGACAATGCCACCCATCGTGTATGATCATATTAATGTTTTTTTTTGTTGGCATTTTGACTGCAGGTATTGTGTGGTTAATGCTACAAACATGAATCCCTTTGTCAGAAAATGTTTAAGTTTTTGTTGGCAGAGGAGGTGTAATGACGAGGAAGAGGAGGCTGAGGAGGTGTCGGCCGTGACGAGGTTAGGCCCCCGGCCTCAGCGGGCGGTAAACGTACAGAACCAACACCACCATCGTCATCAGCAGGGAGATGAAGACTCCCAGGGTGATGCCTGGGGGAGGGGCGAGGCGCTGGTTAGCACGGTTCAGCATACACTACACTATACACTACACTATACACTACACTATACTATACACTATACTATACACTACACTATACACTACACTATACACTACACTATACACTACTATACACTACTATACACTACACTATACACTACACTATACACTACTACACTATACACTACTACACTATACACTACTATACACTACACTATACACTACACTATACACTACACTATACTATACACTACACTATACACTACACTATACACTACACTATACACTACAATACACTACACTACTATACCAACACCACCATCGTCATCAGCAGGGAGATGAAGACTCCCAGGGTGATGCCTGGGGGAGGGGCGAGGCGCTGGTTAGCACGGTTCAGCATACACTACACTATACACTACACTATACTATACACTATACTATACACTATACTATACACTATACACTACACTATACTATACACTATACACCACTATACACTACACTATACACTACACTATACTATACACTATACACCACTATACACTACACTATACACTACACTATACTATACACTATACTATACACTATACTATACACTATACACTACACTATACTATACACTACTATACATTACACTATACACTACACTATACACTACACTATACACTACACTATACACTATATACACTACACACTATACTATACACTACACTATACACTACACTATACACTACTATACACCACTATACACTACACTATACACTACACTATACACTACACTATACTATACACTACACTATACACTACACTATACACTACTATACACCACTATACACTATACACTACACTATACACTACACTATACACTACTATACACCACTATACACTACACTATACACTACACTATACACTACACTATACTATACACTACACTATACACTACACTATACACTACAATACACTACACTACTATACCAACACCACCATCGTCATCAGCAGGGAGATGAAGACTCCCAGGGTGATGCCTGGGGGAGGGGCGAGGCGCTGGTTAGCACAGTTCAGCATACACTACACTATACACTACACTACACTATACACTACTATACACCACTATACACTACACTATACACTACACTATACACTACTATACACTACTACACTATACACTACACTATACACTACACTATACACTACTACACTATACACTACACTATACACTACACTATACACTACACTATACACTACACACTACACTATACACTAAACTATACACTACTATACACTACTCTATACACTACACTATACACTACACTATACACTATACACTACACTATACACTACACTATACACTACACTACTATACACTACACTATACACTACTATACACTACACTATACACTACTATACACTACACTATACACTACACTATACACTACACTATACACTACTACACTATACACTACTACACTATACACTACACTATACACTACTACACTATACACTACACTATACACTACACTATACACTACTACACTATACACTACACTATACACTACACTATACACTACACTATACACTACTACACTATACACTACTACACTATACACTACACTATACTATACACTACTATACACTACTATACACTACTACACTATACACTACACTATACACTACACTATACACTACTACACTATACACTACACTATACACTACACTATACACTACACTACACACTACACTATACACTAAACTATACACTACTCTATACACTACTATACACTACACACTACACTATACACTAAACTATACACTACTCTATACACTACTATACACTACTCTATACACTACTATACACTACACTATACACTACACTATACACTACACACTACACTACACACTACACTATACACTACACTATACACTACACTATACACTACTATACACTACACTATACACTACTATACACTACACTATACACTACACTATACACTACTACACTATACACTACTACACTATACACTACTACACTATACACTACACTATACACTACACTATACACTACACTATACACTACTACACTATACACTACACTATACACTACTATACACTACACTATACACTACACTATACACTACACTATACACTACTCTATACACTACTCTATACACTACACACTGTACACTATACTATACTATATACTATACACTACACTATACACTACACTATACACTACACTACACTATACACTACACTATACACTACACTATACACTACACTATACACTACTACACTACACACTATTACACTACACACTGTACACTACACACTATACACTACACTATACACTACACTATACACTACACTATACTATACACTACTATACACTACACTATACACTGCACTATACACTACACTATACACTACACTATACACTACACTATACACTACTACACTATACACTACACTATACACTACACTATACACTACACTATACACTACTACACTATACACTACTACACTATACACTACACTATACTATACACTACTATACACTACTATACACTACTACACTATACACTACACTATACACTACACTATACACTACTACACTATACACTACACTATACACTACACTATACACTACACTACACACTACACTATACACTAAACTATACACTACTCTATACACTACTATACACTACACACTACACTATACACTAAACTATACACTACTCTATACACTACTATACACTACTCTATACACTACTATACACTACACTATACACTACACTATACACTACACACTACACTATACACTACACTATACACTACACTATACACTACACTATACACTACTATACACTACACTATACACTACTATACACTACACTATACACTACACTATACACTACTACACTATACACTACTACACTATACACTACTACACTATACACTACACTATACACTACACTATACACTACACTATACACTACTACACTATACACTACACTATACACTACTATACACTACACTATACACTACACTATACACTACACTATACACTACTCTATACACTACTCTATACACTACACACTGTACACTATACTATACTATATACTATACACTACACTATACACTACACTATACACTACACTACACTATACACTACACTATACACTACACTATACACTACACTATACACTACTACACTACACACTATTACACTACACACTGTACACTACACACTATACACTACACTATACACTACACTATACACTACACTATACTATACACTACTATACACTACACTATACACTGCACTATACACTACACTATACACTACACTATACACTACACTACACACTACACTATACATTACACTATACAATACACACTGTACACTACACACTATACACTACACTATACACTACACTATACACTACACTACTATACACTACACTATACACTACTACACTACACACTATACACTACTACACTACACACTATACACTACACTATACGCTACACTACTATACACTACACTACTATACACTACACTACTATACACTACACTATACACTACACTATACACTACACACTACACTACACACTACACTATACACTACACACTATACTATACTATACACTACACACTACACTATACATTACACTATACACTACACTATACACTACACTATACACTACTACACTATACACTACTACACTATACACTACTACACTATACACTACTACACTATACACTACACTATACACTACACTATACACTACTACACTATACACTACACTATACACTACTACACTACACACTGTACACTACACACTATACACTACACTATACACTACACTATACACTACACTATACACTACACTATACACTACTATACACTGCACTATACACTACACTATACACTACACTATACACTACACTACACACTACACTATACATTACACTATACACTACACTATACACTACACACTGTACACTACACACTATACACTACACTATACACTACACTATACACTACACTACTATACACTACACTATACACTACTACACTACACACTATACACTACTACACTACACACTATACACTACACTACTATACACTACACTACTATACACTACACTACTATACACTACACTATACACTACACTATACACTACACTACACACTATACTATACTATACACTACACACTACACTATACATTACACTATACACTACACTATACACTACACTATACACTACTACACTATACACTACTACACTATACACTACTACACTATACACTACACTATACACTACTACACTATACACTACTACACTATACACTACACTATACACTACACTATACACTACTACACTATACACTACTACACTATACACTACACTATTCACTACTACACTATACACTATACTATACATTACTAGGCAGGTGGACTACGACAGAGTGGAAGGTGGACTAGGACAGAGTGGAAGGTGGACTACCACAGAGTGGAAGGTGGACTACCACAGAGCAGAAGGTGGACTACGACAGAGTGGAAGGTGGACTACCACAGAATGGAAGGTGGACTACCACAGAGTGGAAGGTGGACTACCACAGAGCAGAAGGTGGACTACCACAGAGTGGACTACCACAGGGTGGACTACCACAGAGTGGAAGGTGGACTCCCAAAAGGTGGACTACCGCAGAGTAGACTACCACAGAGTGGAAGGTGGACTACCACAGAGTGGAAGGTGGACTACCACAGGGTGGACTACCACAGAGTGGAAGGTGGACTACCACAGGGTGGACTACCACAGAGTGGACTACCACAGAGAGGAAGGTGGACTACTACAGAGTGGAAGGTGGACTACCACTGAGAGGCCTACCACAGAGAGGAAGGTGGACTACTACAGAGTGGAAGGTGGACTACTACAGAGTGGAAGGTGGACTACTACAGAGTGGAAGGTGGACTACCACAGAGTGGACTACCACAGAGAGGAAGGTGGACTACCACAGAGTGGACTACCACAGAGTGGACTACCACAGAGAGGAAGGTGGACTACTACAGAGTGGAAGGTGGACTACCACAGAGTGGACTACTACAGAGTGGAAGGTGGACTACTACAGAGTGGAAGGTGGACTACCACAGAGTGGACTACCACAGAGTGGAAGGTGGACTACCACAGAGTGGAAGGTGGACTACTACAGAGTGGAAGGTGGACTACCACCGAGTGGAAGGTGGACTACCACAGAGTGAACTACCACAGAGAGGAAGGTAGACTACTACAGAGTGGAAGGTGGACTACCACAGAGTGGACTACCACAGAGTGGACTATCACAGAGTGGAAGGTGGACTACCACAGAGTGGAAGGTGGACTACTACAGAGTGGAAGGTGGACTACCACAGAGTGGACTACCACAGAGTGGAAGGTGGACTACCACAGAGTGGAAGGTGGACTACCACAGAGTGGACTACCACAGAGTGGAAGGTGGACTACTACAGAGTGGAAGGTGGACTACCACAGAGTGGACTACCACAGAGAGGAAGGTGGACTACTACAGAGTGGAAGGTGGACTACCACAGAGTGGACTACCACAGAGTGGCAGGTGGACTACCACAGAGTGGACTACCACAGAGTGGAAGGTGGACTACCACAGAGTGGACTACCACAGAGAGGAAGGTGGACTACCACAGAGTGGACTACCACAGAGTGGACTACTACAGAGTGGAAGGTGAACTACTACAGAGTAGAAGGTGGACTACTACAGAGTGGAAGGTGGACTACTACAGAGTGGAAGGTGGACTACCACAGAATGGAAGGTGGACTACCACAGAGTGGACTACCACAGAGTGGCAGGTGGACTACCACAGAGTGGAAGGTGGACTACCACAAGGTGGACTACCAAAGGGTGGACTACCACAAGGTGGACTACCACAGAGTGGACTACCACAGAGTGGAAGGTGGACTACCACAAGGTGGACTACCACAGAGTGGACTACGACAGAGTGGAAGGTGGACTACCACAGAGTGGACTACCACAGAGTGGAAGGTGAACTACCACAGAGTGGAAGGTGGACTACCACAGAGTGGAAGGTGGACTACCACAAGGTGGACTACCAAAGGGTGGACTCACCCAGATTCTGCTGGCTCAGGTCCCCCATGGCGACTCCGACTAAAACTCCCCGCGGCTGTCTCCTGAAATGAAAAAAATAAAATAAATAAAAATAAAATCGATTTTCGCAAAGGTAGTGCAGAGACAGTGCAGGGACAGTGCAGGGAGAGTGCAGAGACCCACAGAGACCCACAGAGACCCATAGAGAACCATAGAGACCCACACTCATAGAGACCCATAGACCCATAGAGACTCACACTCATAGAGACCCATAGAGACCCACACTCATAGAGACCCACACTCATAGAGACCCATAGAGACCCACACTCATAGAGACCCACAGAGACTCACACTCACAGAGACCCATAGAAACCCACACTCATAGAGACCCATAGACCCATAGAGACTCACACTCATAGAGACCCATAGAGACCCACACTCATAGAGACCCACACTCATAGAGACCCACAGAGACTCACACTCACAGAGACCCATAGAAACCCATACTCATAGAGACCCATAGAGGCTCACACTCACAGTGACCCATAGAGACCCATAGAGACCCACACTCATAGAGACCCACAGAGAACCACAGAGACCCATAGAGACCCACAGAGACTCACAGACCCATAGAGACTCATAGAGACTCACAGAGACCCACAGAGACCCACAGAGACTCACAGAGACCCATACAGACCCATAAAGACCCATAGAGCCTCACAGAGACCCATAGCGACTCATAGAAACCCATAGAGAACCAGAGACCCATAGAGCCCCATAGAGACCCACAGAGACCCACACTCACAGAGACCCACAGAGACCCACACTCATAGAGACCCACAGAGACCCACAGAGACTCACACTCATAGAGACCCACATAGACCCACACTCATAGAGACCCACAGAGACTCACACTCATAGAGACCCACAGAGACTCGCACTCATAGAGACCCACAGAGACTCACACTCATAGAGACCCACAGAGACTCACACTCATAGAGACCCACAGAGACTCACACTCATAGAGACCCACAGAGACCCACACCCATAGAGACCCACAGAGACTCGCACTCATAGAGACCCACAGAGACTCACAGAGACTCACACTCATAGAGACCCACAGAGACCCACACCCATAGAGACCCAGAGACCCACACTCATAGAGACCCACAGAGACTCACACTCATAGAGACCCACAGAGACCCACAGAGACCCATAGAGACTCACAGAGACCCACACTCATAGAGACCCATAGAGACCCACAGAGACCCACACTCATAGAGACCCACAGAGACCCACACTCATAGAGACCCACAGAGACCCACACTCATAGAGACCCACAGAGACTCGCACTCATAGAGACCCACAGAGACTCACACTCATAGAGACCCACAGAGACCCATACTCATAGAGACCCACAGAGACACACACTCAGAGACCCACAGAGACTCACAGAGACCCACACTCATAGAGACCCATACAGACCCATAGAGACTCACACTCATAGAGACCCACAGAGACTCACACTCATAGAGACCCACAGAGACCCACACTCATAGAGACCCACAGAGACCCACACTCATAGAGACCCACACTCATAGAGACCCACAGAGACCCACACTCATAGAGACCCACACTCATAGAGACCCACAGAGACCCACACTCATAGAGACCCACAGAGACCCACACTCATAGAGACCCACACTCATAGAGACCCACAGAGACCCACACCCATAGAGACCCACAGAGACTCACACTCATAGAGACCCACAGAGACCCACACTCATAGAGACCCACAGAGACCCACACTCATAGAGACCCATAGAGACCCAGAGACCCACACTCATAGAGACCCACAGAGACTCACACTCAGAGACCCACACTCATAGAGACCCACAGAGACCCACACTCATAGAGACCCACAGAGACCCATAGAGACTCACAGAGACCCACACTCATAGAGACCCACAGAGACCCATAGAGACTCACAGAGACCCACACTCATAGAGACCCACAGAGACCCACACTCATAGAGACCCACAGAGACCCACACTCATAGAGACCCACAGAGACCCACACTCATAGAGACTCACAGAGACTCACACTCATAGAGACCCACAGAGACCCACACTCATAGAGACCCACAGAGACCCACACTCATAGAGACCCACAGAGACTCACACTCATAGAAACCCACAGAGACTCATAGAGACCCACAGAGACTCATAGAGACCCACAGAGACTCACACTCACAGAGACCCACAGAGACCCACACTCATAGAGACCCACAGAGACTCACACTCATAGAGACCCACAGAGACCCACACTCATAGAGACCCACAGAGACTCACACTCATAGAAACCCACAGAGACTCATAGATACCCACAGAGACTCATAGAGACCCACAGAGACTCACACTCACAGAGACCCATAGAGACCCACACTCATAGAGACCCACACTCATAGAGACCCACAGAGACCCATACTCATAGAGACCCACACTCATAGAGACACACAGAGACTCACACTCATAGAGACCCACACTCACAGAGACTCACACTCATAGAGACCCACAGAAACCCACACTCATAGAGACCCACACTCATAGAGACTCACACTCATAGAGACTCACACTCACAGAGACCCAGAGACTCACACTCATAGAGACCCACAGAGACCCACACTCATAGAGACCCACAGAGACCCACACTCATAGAGACCCACAGAGACCCACAGAGACCCATACTCATAGAGACCCACAGCGACCCACACTCATAGAGACCCACACTCATAGAGACCCACAGAGACCCACACTCATAGAGACCCACAGAGACCCACACTCATAGAGACCCACAGAGACCCACACTCATAGAGACCCACAGAGACCCACACTCATAGAGACCCACAGAGACCCACACTCACAGAGACTCACAGAGACCCACACTCATAGAGACCCACACTCATAGAGACCCACAGAGACTCACACTCATAGAGACCCACAGAGACTAACACTCATAGAGACCCACACTCATAGAGACCCACAGAGACCCACACTCACAGAGACTCATAGAGACCCACAGAGACTCACACTCATACAGAAATTGTAACGTAATAATCACTTTGTTAATTAGTGTAATTACAACAATTTAAATTATCAGATATAATTTTGGTGATCTGTGCCTGGGTAGGCCTACGTAGACTTTAACGCAACTTTAAATATAAACTTTAGTTATGTATGTTCACGACAATGTTCATCATTAACATTGTAACTTAACTATCGCTTTGTGAATAATTATTACAAATAATAATAATAATTAGATATAGTTGTGGTAGGCCTACGTAGACTTCAACGCAATTTAAAGCATAAACTTTAGTTACGTATGTTCACGACAAGGTTTATTAATTGACATTGCAACTTAACTATCGCTCTGTTAACAACTTACAAGAATATTAAAACATTTAAACTTGCTCAGCCCGTTTATTAAACACGATCACGATCGATCGATCGATTTACGCCAAATGTGATCGATACACACGCAGAGAAAAGTTTAATTACGTTAATGTAAACAAAAATCTTTACACATTTTTTGGGGGGGGTCTTTCGCGTAAAGTCACGTAGATAGGTTCAAATAAAAAAAAATAATTTTAAAAAAATATAACGGAGGAAAAAAACCAACCACGACTTTTGATCGCTTACGTTATGATAGAAACGTATTTTTTTTTTAAAATAAAAAATATATATTTTAAATTCTTTTATTCGAACCTATCTACGTGACTTTTACCCAAAGACCCAAGAATATTAATTCATGCAGTCACTAAAGCTTTAAGTCAAGATTTAAATCGTTTTAAACGTTCGCATCTTAATGGGCAATCACGTCAGAATTCTCAATGATCATTTACGCGATTTTAAAACAACCCCAAAGAATTTCCCCACCCCATCCCACCCCACGTTATTGTTAATTATTTGACTATTACGAAGGGGGCGTTATAAACGTATCGTCTTTAAACGGTTTTAATAGCCGCTTATAAGATCGTAACGCACCCAGCGAACGCCCGTTGCTATGACGGCGCACACATCCCGCGCAGAATGTTTTTGTTAAAAATAAATAAAACTTCACAACGGCACGTCGCTCACCGATCAAAGACGCCTTCCGTGTGACTCCGGCGCCTTACTTGCTCGTTAATTTTTTGTTAATTTAAACGATTGCAGCGATTTTTGTGGTGGGGGGTGGTGGTGGTGGTGGGGTTTGCTTCTAGGCGAGCCGCAGGCTGTTGCCTTCGTTGCTAAGGGCCGTGAAAGTAAAAAAATGGCAACCCGGAACGTTTTTTAAATTCCTCTTCTTCTTTCGATATATAAATCAATAACTTCAATTTGATCATCAATTACCAATTAATTATGTTGAAATATTATTATGCAATTAACGATAATTAATTAATAACAACAATCATTATTATTATTTAAATTGGATAATTAAACCCTCACCCAAACCCGAATCGACCGGTTTGACAAATTGTTTCCCACGGACGAAGCGCGCGCGCACACACCGTGTGAATCGAATCGACGTGCGAACAAAAACTTTACCCTTATCGCGTCGATTCCCATTGTTTTAACACGGCGCGCAATCGATTCCTACTCGAATCGAAAACACCGCGCCACCCCCCCACCGAGGCCCGAATCGCCTTCCTTATAAAGCGACGACTCCGCGCCAATCGATTCCAAATAGAAGATGGCGGCGTTCAACAAGGGGTAACGTTTCCGATGCTTTGGTCAAACTCAAAATTTTTCGTCGATAATTTAATCGATCGATCGATCGTTTTGCGTCGCCGTTTCGATCACTTCTCGCGAGGGATCTGCCTCGATTTGATGTGTGTGTGTGTGTTTTTTGTTTTGTTAAAAAAACACTCCCGTTTTTATTGGTTCATTCGTTAAAGTCGTCACCACGTAGAATGAAATAATCAAATAATAAATTAATAAAACAAAATAAAATTCTCACGACGTTTCGGCCACAACACAAGTGGAGCGAACACACACACGCACACAGAGGCCAAGCGGTGTCCTCCACTCGGTCTAGTCCCTTCACCTGAAGGAGGCCGCTTGTGTTGGGGCCGAAACGTCGCGTGAGAATTGAATCGCGTTATTTTACCAATTCTGAATTCGTCGTTTTGATTCTCATTTCTACGTGGCCGGTGCGACGACTTTGCCGAAAGAACCAAAGCAGATTAAATCCCCCTTGGCGGTCGCGAAAGCTTTAAATCGTAACGTAAACCGCTCCGTTCGTCTGGGTGCGAGTTTTGAGTTTTGTGGTTGAGTTTTGGGGGGGGGGTGGGAGCGGTGGTGGTGCAGTGGTTAGCGCGCCACGCTGCTGTTTTTACTCGCAGAGAGATGGGAGAGAGAGCGCAGAGAGAGAGAGGAGAGAGACGGGGGAGATCCGAGTGATATGGAGAGAGATGGGGAGAGAGGGATGAGAGAGAGGTGGAGAGAGTGAGAGATGGAGAGAGATGGGGGTGATGGAGAGAGAGGTGGAGAAAGAGAGATGGAGAGAGAGAGGTGGGTGATGGAGAAAGATGGAGAGAGAGAGGTGGGTGATGGAGAGAGAGAGATGGAGAGAGAAAGAGATGGAGAGGGAGAGAGAAAGAGATGGAGAGAGAGATGGAGAGAGAGAGAGAGATGTGGGGAGAGAGAGAGAGATGGAGAGAGAGAGAGATGTGGAGAGAGAGAGAGAGATGGAGAGAGAGAGAGAGATGGAGAGAGAGAGAGAGATGGAGAGAGAGAGAGAGATGGAGAGAGAGAGATGGAGAGAGAGATGGAGAGAGAGAGATGGAGAGAGAGAGATGGAGAGAGAAAGAGATGGAGAGAGAGAGATGGGGAGATGGAGAGAGAGATGGAGAGAGAGATAAAGATGGTGAGAGAGAGAGATGGTGAGAGAGAGAGATGGTGAGAGAGAGAGATGGTGAGAGAGAGATGGTGAGAGAGGGAGATGGTCTAGTCCCTTCACCTGAAGGAGGCCGCTTGTGTTGTGGCCGAAACGTCGCGTGAGAATTTAATCGCGTTATTTTACCAATTCTGAATTCGTCGTTTTGATTCTCATTTCTACGTGGCCGGTGCGACGGCTTTGCCGAAAGAACCAAAGCAGATTAAATCCCCCTTGGCGGTCGCGAAAGCTTTAAATCGTAACGTAAACCGCTCCGTTCGTCTGGGTGCGAGTTTTGAGTTTTGTGTTTTGAGTTTTCGTTTTGGGGGGGTGGGAGCGGTGGTGGTGCAGTGGTTAGCGCGCCACACTGCTGTTTTTACTCGCAGAGAGATGGGAGAGAGAGAGCAGAGAGAGAGAGAGGAGAGAGACGGGGGAGATCCGAGTGATATGGAGAGAGATGGGGAGAGAGGGATGAGAGAGAGGTGGAGCGAGTGAGAGATGGAGATGGGGGTGATGGAGATAGATGGAGAGAGAGAGATGGAGGTGATGGAGAGAGATGTGGAGAGAGAGATGGGGGTGATGGAGAGAGAGAGAGGTGGAGAGAGTGAGAGATGGAGAGAGATGGAGAGAGAGAGATGGGTGATGGAGATAGATGGAGAGAGAGATGGAGGTGATGGAGAGAGAGATGGTGAGAGAGAGATGGTGAGAGAGAGATGGAGAGAGAGAGATGGAGAGAGAGAGAGATGGAGAGAGATAGGGGGGTGATGGAGAGAGAGAGATGGTGAGAGAGATGTGGGTGATGGAGAGAGAGGTGGGTGATGGTGGAGAGAGAGATGTGGGTGATGGAGAGAGAGATGGTGAGAGAGAGATGGTGAGAGAGAGATGGTGAGAGAGAGATGGTGAAAGAGAGATGGAGAGAGAGAGATGGAGAGAGAGAGAGGGGGGTGATGGAGAGAGAGAGGGGGGTGATGGAGAGAGAGAGGGGGGTGATGGAGAGAGAGATGTGGGTGATGGAGAGAGAGAGATGGAGAGAGAGATATGGGGGTGATGGAGAGAGAGAGAGATGGAGAGAGATATGGGGGTGATGGAGAGAGAGATATGGAGAGAGAGATATGGAGAGAGAGATATGGAGAGAGATATGGAGAGAGAGATAAGAGAGAGAGATATGGAGAGGGAGAGAGATAAGAGAGAGGTGGAGAGAGAGATGGGTGTAATGGAGAGAGAGAGAGGGAGGCCTCGCTCATGGACGCTGTTGGCCCCTGTAGGTATGGCCTCATCCTCTCCAACAAGAAGAAGACAACAACATCAACACTGCTACCTCTTCGCTCGCTACCCAAGCCGTCCGTGTTCAACGATGACTCCGACGAGGTGAGCTTATGGAGTGTCGTGTGTAGTGTATAGTGTAGTTTATAGTAGTGTGTAGTGTAGTTTATAGTAGTGTGTAGTGTAGTTTATAGCAGTGTGTAGTGTATAGTGTAGTTTATAGTCGTGAGTAGTGTATAGTGTAGTTTATAGTAGTGTGTAGTGTAGTTTATAGTAGTGTGTAGTGTAGTTTATAGTAGTGTGTAGTGTAGTTTATAGTAGTGTGTAGTGTAGTTTATAGTCGTGTGTAGTGTAGTTTATAGTCGTGTGTAGTGTATAGTGTAGTTTATAGTAGTGTGTAGTGTATAGTGTAGTTTATAGTAGTGTGTAGTGTAGTTTATAGCAGTGTGTAGTGTATAGTGTAGTTTATAGTCGTGTGTAGTGTATAGTGTAGTTTATAGCAGTGTGTAGTGTATAGTGTAGTTTATAGTAGTGTGTAGTGTATAGTGTAGGTTATAGTAGTGTATAGTGTAGTTTATAGTAGTGTGTAGTTTATAGTAGTGTATAGTGTAGTTTATAGTAGTGTATAGTGTAGTTTATAGTAGTGTGTAGTGTAGTTTATAGTAGTGTGTAGTGTATAGTGTAGTTTATAGTAGTGTGTAGTGTAGTTTATAGCAGTGTATAGTGTAGTTTATAGTAGTGTGTAGTGTAGTTTATAGTAGTGTGTAGTGTAGTTTATAGTAGTGTGTAGTGTAGTTTATAGTAGTGTGTAGTGTAGTTTATAGTAGTGTGTAGTGTAGTTTATAGTAGTGTGTAGTGTAGTTTATAGTAGTGTGTAGTGTAGTTTATAGTAGTGTGTAGTGTAGTTTATAGTAGTGTGTAGTGTAGTTTATAGTAGTGTGTAGTGTAGTTTATAGTAGTGTGTAGTGTAGTTTATAGTAGTGTGTAGTGTAGTTTATAGTGTAGTGTAGTTTATAGTTGTGTGTAGTGTAGTTTATAGTCGTGTGTAGTGTAGTTTATAGCAGTGTGTAGTGTATAGTGTAGTTTATAGTAGTGTGTAGTGTATAGTGTAGTTTATAGCAGTGTGTAGTGTAGTTTATAGTAGTGTGTAGTGTATAGTGTAGTTTATAGTGTAGTTTATAGTTGTGTGTAGTGTAGTTTATAGTCGTGTGTAGTGTATAGTGTAGTTTATAGTAGTGTGTAGTTGTCTATAGTGTAGTTTATTGTAGTGTGTAGTTTATAGTAGTGTGTAGTTGTGTATAGTGTAGTTTATAGTAGTGTGTAGTTGTGTATAGTGTAGTTTATAGTCGTGTGTAGTTGTGTATAGTGTAGTTTATAGTCGTGTGTAGTTGTGTATAGTGTAGTTTATAGTAGTGTGTAGTTGTGTATAGTGTAGTTTATAGTAGTGTGTAGTTGTGTATAGTGTAGTTTATAGTAGTGTGTAGTTGTGTATAGTGTAGTTTATAGTAGTGTGTAGTTGTGTATAGTGTAGTTTATAGTAGTGTGTAGTTGTGTATAGTGTAGTTTATAGTAGTGTGTAGTTGTGTATAGTGTAGTTTATAGCAGTGTGTAGTTGTGTATAGTGTAGTTTATAGCAGTTGTGTATAGTGTAGTTTATAGTAGTGTGTAGTGTAGTTTATAGTAGTGTGTAGTGTAGTTTATAGTAGTGTGTAGTTTATAGTAGTGTGTAGTTTATAGTAGTGTGTAGTGTAGTTTATAGTAGTGTGTAGTGTAGTTTATAGTAGTGTGTAGTGTATAGTGTAGTTTATAGTAGTGTGTAGTTTATAGTCGTGTGTAGTGTAGTTTATAGTAGTGTGTAGTGTAGTTTATAGTAGTGTGTAGTTTATAGTAGTGTGTAGTTTATAGTAGTGTGTAGTGTATAGTGTAGTTTATAGTAGTGTGTAGTGTAGTTTATAGTAGTGTGTCGTGTATAGTGTAGTTTATAGTAGTGTGTAGTTTATAGTAGTGTGTAGTGTAGTTTATAGTAGTGTGTATAGTGTAGTTTATAGTAGTGTGTAGTGTATAGTGTCGTTTATAGTAGTGTATAGTGTAGTTTATAGTAGTGTGTAGTGTATAGTGTAGTTTATAGTAGTGTGTAGTGTATAGTGTAGTTTATAGTAGTGTGTAGTGTA